GGGGGTGTTTGGTTGCTGCGAGGGGGAGACACGATGGGGTGGCCAGGGGTTCGGTCCCTGGCGAGTGAATTGACGCGCCTCGCCAGGGACACCGAAGGGTGTTTTCGCGTCTTCGGGAGGATGGAAATCACACGCCAGTGTGGGCAAGGCGGTCGCACGTGCCATCGCCGACGATGTTATTTCCCGCCATAGAGAAGCGACGTCGCGGGAGGTCCATCTACGAGAGACTACTTAAGTCCTGCGCATCCGAACCCGTCTATATGTCGTCCCCGCCGCGAAGGTGTATCCAGTACAGAAGCCCGCCGCGCCTGCTGCAAACCGCCCGCAACAACAACAAAGTGGTGCAAGCCTTCAAACAGCTCGCTAGCTTCTGCACGCCTCCACAGTTGGGAATTGTACAGGACACGGACATCGTGCACACTTCCCGAGTATCCGATGTGGACGTCGAGGATCCGCAGATCCAAATCCACCACCACCTGCGCCTGCACGGAGAACTTATGTTTGCGGTCGTAGTAGTTGTCCGAAGGTGCGCCGACTGGCTTGTCAATGTAGATGTGTGTACAATCGATCGCGCCGAAGCAGTTCGGGAAACCCTTGTCACGGAATGCACGCAGAATCTGCGCACGTCTACGCCCAACTGGCCACTTGATCGCGTCGGGGTACGCTTGCAGCAGCGTCGAAGTGACGTCGTGGACAGCCTGCAGTCCAGTTGCCGTGCCGATGCCGAAGGCCGACGTGCCGCTCTCGTACGACTCTCCTGACGCCCACCTGTAGTACAACGCGAAAGCGATCACCTGCTCCACTAGCAATGGCATCCTATAGTGCGTCACCTTCTTCTCCACGTACGCGGCGCACGCGACTACGATCTTCCTGAACATGGCCATCGACATGCGCAACTTCTGCCGGTAGTACTCGTCTGTCGCGTTATCACAGAGGCGGAGATCCTCCCATGTTCTGCCAGTCCATCGTTTAATCCACCAACGCGGGGTCTGCCGCGGGAAAACGCCAGATGACAGCGCGGCACACAACTGGACGACTGCCTCACACGTGGCCACACAATCCAGCGCTTCGGCAATGCGCTGCAACAGCGCTCTTCGTTTTCGGAGCTGCATCAGCATGTCGTTTGAGGACGACGACATGCCGCCCATTGTGTTCACGACGACGACAGTAACCGCCATCGCCACCGCGTCGATCTCCTCTTCTCGCAGACCGTGCCCGCTGCCCCGAACGTCCATCTCTGGGAATCGTTCTGCCCCCACAGCGTGACGCCTGCCACAGCCGCCGAAGACACGCCCGCTGCTGAACCAAGCGAAGAGAGACCACGCACGCTGGACCTGTAGATGCGTCCGCTGCCGTACGCTGCAACAGGAGATGGCGTACGCCGGAGTCGACGACGCGCCCGCTGCTCTACGCTTGCACAGGACAGCACACACGGCAGAGGCAAGGATGCACCTTGCCGGAAGTTGCCCCTGCTGGCCACAACTTGTGTGGATACGGGAGATGGATACCTGCGCCGAATGGTTCGCCAGCGCCGTCTTTTGTACGTCACACGCGTTGCCTGGCCTTCCTCCACCCCTGCCGCCTTGCATCCGCGAGAATTCGAATTAGAATTTTTGAAGTTCGGGGTGACCGCGCTTTTCACCCACCCCTCCTCACCCGCCCAAGGCCTCCGCAGTGTGTACCACGGACATCAGCCAGGACCCGGCGGATATCAGCGACGCGGCTGCGTATACGAATATAAGAACGGGCCGCGGGAGACCTTTTAGGACGAATCCTAGAAGATGATTTTTAGGACTGCGTGTAACGACGCTGCACGGAATCCTAAAAAACGTTTAGGACTCGTCCTAAAAATTTTAGGATTCTTTTAGGAGTGTCTAACGAGACCCTACGTTCAAATTAATCAAATCCCTTTTTGATATTTCTTTTTTGAAATTCGGAGATAATTTTAATTAATTCATTTTGTTTTCGAAAAGTTTCTTGAAATACATCATAATCAATAAATTCCTTTTCGCAATTCTTTTTGAAACGGTATTCACCAGTTCGCAGTAGCTGATGCAGATCCCGGGGCTCGATCCCGCGTCGAGGGTTTGCCGTTGTGCTCTTAATCAGATGTTGTACACTGGTTTGGATTTGGATTTTGAAGTCGGGTCTTACATACTATTTGCGTGCGTGATGGATTGCTGAGTAACGAGTGTATCTTTCTCCTCCATCCTCATGCTGTTACTGTCGTTGCCGGACAATTCTCTCATCTCATCTCGATCCCTAGTCCCCACCTTACCTGTGTACAGTACCTGTGTCGACCCTTAGAGTTGAACCCGTGACCTGTTTATTTGTAACAGTGGTGGACTGTCGTAGGGTCCAGAGGTCGCCAGGGTTCGATCTGTAGACCTGTCGAGTAAGAGTCTTAGTCAGGGCTAGAAGTCGTAGCTGTAGCATTCCCGAAAGGTCAAGGTCGTAGCTGCTACAGTCCAGAAGGGTCAAAGTCGTAGCTGCTACAGCCACGAAAGGCCAAGTCTACGGCCTTCCGGAAGGTTCCAGTAGTGGCCTTTCGTAGTTGCCCACGTTTAGGCTGAGGCAAGTGGGCAAGTGGTGAGGCAAGTGGTGGAGTCTGCCCGTGCTGAGTCAGCAGTCCCAGTCCTAGGCAGTCCTGGTCCAGTCAAGCAAGTACCGCATGGGACTGTGTGCACTTCGGGCATGGGAAAGGGCCAGACCAACGAGCTGCAGAAGTATAAATCAAGAGGCAGCGCCCAACCATTCATTCATTCCTGCACGAGCCATGCGGAAGCGCTGCCACGGCGACTTGTGCAAGGAGGTCTGCAGTCAGCCCGAAGACGAAGTGGGCAGATAGACGAAGCTTAGCCATAGCGATAGGGTAGAGGCGGCCATAACCGCCATAGCTGTAGTTAGTGTTCAGTGTGTGTGTGTGTGTGTGTGTGAGTGTTTAGCGAGACGCGTGTGGGATATCCAGGGTGATCCACTGTATGTGAACAGAGAGTTGTATGGGCGCTATATCGCCATAGCCATTGGAAGTGAACTCGTATCTGGGTTGCCATATCTCTGAGTGCTGAGTGGGCGCATGTCGCCAGGTTGCTGTGCTACTGTTTGCATGCATGTAAAGTGTGAATGAAAGCAAGTCTGATTGCATTGGTATCAGAGCTGGTACCCGCTGTTCCACGCGCTGCGTTGTGTGTCGCAGGGAGTGATGCGCCATAGCGAAGGGGCCGACAAAGAGTATACCGAGGTTGAAGAAGCCGCCGCGCGCACCTGCACAGAGGACCACGACGAAGAAGAAGACCGAGAGAGAGGGAGAGAGAGAGAGAAAGGTTAAGCGATACAAGATTGGCTTACCACGTACCTGTGTTGAAGACATCGCTATGGCGAGCGAGAGAGAGAGAGGGAGAGAGAGGAGAGAGATGAGCGATACAAGTTTGGCTGTCACTTACCTGTGAAGTGTGCCGTGCAGTCCCACGAAGTGAGAGGCGACCATAGCCACGGAGCTCGGCCACAGAGAATGAAGGAGGTTGAAAGAGAAGGCAGAGGAGGAGACTGAGAAGGGAGAGAGAAGCC